GAAGAAAATTTCTAACCATTTTCTCTGTATAATTCTACATGCTCGAATTTTTCTACCGATTTCTCTTGCACGCTTAACCTTCTTGATAGCATTGGACATCCATAATTCATATCGATGCAATGCATACTCATTATCGAAATTATATTCTGAAATAGATTTTTGCTTGATTTTCAAGTACTCATCATAACTTACTCCACAATAAGAATTTCCTGTACAATGAGAAGCCCAATGTTTTTCCATTCCAATATGATTATAGTTATTTCCCATATTTTTGGTTCGTTTTCCGGTATATACTAATTGATTACAAGAAAAGCAGATAGCAATACCAATTTCAGGCGCATAGCTTTTATAAAATCCATTAACCTCAGACCAATATGTTATTAATTTTCTGGCTTCAAGATATTTTTTACTATTATAAGGTAAGAGATCATTTTCTCTAAAATATGTAAGACGTTCCCAAATCCGTTCCATCCAATCAGTAGGAGTCTCATTCAATGAAACAATACTCATCTCCAAATATTCAACCCATTCAGTATCGGTACAATTGATTCCACGTCTTTCACTTAAGCTAGCCATCTATCTTATATAACCTATTTGTAGTATTTATAGAAGTTATATGTGATTTATATCGTATTTAGGGATTTAGACCTATTTGATTTAATAACTATATACTCTAGATATCTGAATTCATTTTTTGTGTAGAATTTGAACAGAAATTTATTTATATAAAACTTTGCTAATCTCAATGCGATTAAAAATAACCTTAAATGATGCTTGTAATATTGCCAGAGCTCGTAATGGTTTGTGTCTTTCAGATACATATATTAATATTTCCACACCATTGAGATGGAAATGTTCTAAAGATCATGAATGGGATGCTCCACTTGATAGAATAAAATATAGGAATACTTGGTGCCCTGTTTGTGCAGGTCGGCATTCTTTTCATCTTGAAATTGCTAGAAAGATTGCTATAGATAGAGGTGGATTATGTCTTTCTATCCAATGTACAGCTACCAAGGAATTATTACAGTGGAGATGTTCCAAAGGTCATGAATGGTCAGCAACCTACAATAATATTATACACAATAAAAATTGGTGCATAAAATGTTCGCATAGAAAGCCTTGTACTCTTGAAGATGCTATAAAAGTCGCACATACTAGAAATGGAAAATGTCTTTCTGAAAAATTTATTAATGGTAAGTCACTATTATTATGGCGCTGTGCTGTAAGTCATGAATGGAATGCTAGTCTTGAGAGTGTAAAAAATAAAAACACATGGTGTCCACATTGTGTAGGAGGTAGACCCCGATATACTCTTGAAGATGCTAGAAAAATTGCGCATGATAGAAATGGGAAATGTCTTTCTGAAAAATATATTAATAGCATGACAGCTTTATTGTGGCGTTGTTCTAAAGGGTATGAATGGAATGCAACATTTAATAGTATTAAAAATGCAAATTCATGGTGTCCCCATTGTTCTGGACGATACGCCTGTGATATTGATCAAGCCAAGCAAATTGCATTTAGTCGGAATGGTGAGTGTCTCTCTACCTCATATTTTAATAACTATTCAAATCTATTATGGAAATGTGTTAAAGGACATATATGGCATGCAACACTTAATTCTATTAAAGATCGAAATACCTGGTGTCCAATTTGTCGAAATAAATATGAAAATTTATGTCATGAAATTGTTTCTAAATATCTTGGACCGCCATCTAAGATACGTTGTCCTAATTTCTTAAAAACACCAGAACATTCCACAGGTTTAGAACTTGATATATTTTATCCTGAATATGGTTTTGCAATTGAAGTACAAGGAGTGCAACATGAAAAATATATCGAATTCTTTCATAATGGTGATCCCAATAATTTTATTAAACAGCAAGCACGGGATCAACTCAAGAAAGAATTGTGCGAAGAAAACTGGATTGCTTTAAGATATGTCTGGTATTATGAAGATCCATATATAGCTGTTCCAGAACATCTTCGAGAATTGGGTCTTATTAAGTAAATCTAAAACTTTAAATGCTCCATGATTAAGCAATAAAATCTCATGTGCACACATTGTTAAATATGTTTTCTATTTTATTTTTCTGACACACACCCACATACACGCATATGCACAGTAAAGATAAGCCTAATATGGGCATTGATAAATACAAAAAAAAATAATAAGAACATGAAACAAGTTCAAAGTATTATAGATTGCAGTGCAGTGTCAACAAATAGGATTATTATAAAAACTTTAACACACATTACATATTCATTATCTTGGCTGACATTTCAAAACTACTCGCTGAATTTCGTAAAGATCAATGGTGAAATTACCATCAAGAATTGCAGGACGAGGATAAGAAACCAGTGGAACATATCCAATAGCTGGAATAGGTGGGTCATAAAACACATCGCTTATCGGAATGTTGATCTGATATGCTGGATTACCCGGAGCATTACATCCAGTAGGTTGACTACTACCTTTTTGCACTGTCCCAAAATGCCACTATTTTTTAGACATATACATGTAAATATCGAAAAGATAAAATAAACAGAATCTCTAAACAGTTTAACATTACTTTTCTGGTTGGTAACCCCTGTCTCCATAATTTAGCCTAATTTTAAAAAGTTTTTTAGAATATCAACTACGAAACTACAATAAAATAGTCAACAGATACATACCTTCATTGATCGATTAAATCGTCCATGTGTATTTCGTGTAGTTTGCAAATCATAAAGTTTTATTCCTAATACACATCTCACGTACTGCTGACTCATCCAAAGTTCACACTTATTTTTCAATCCACGGTAACTTTGACTAACTGCAACCTCGCATATAATTCTAGCATGAGAATTCCCCTACAAAAGTATATGTATTAGAAAATTGCATACAAAACAAATAATGATAATATACACCAAATTCAATGTACCATTGTGTCGCTTGGGGGAGGTCCAAGATTGAGAGGTCCAGAATTGGGAGGTCTTAGAACGTATGCCTCATCTGGAAGTACTGCAATATCTGGTGCAATCCTAAGTCCATCTGCATTTGGTGAAGGATGAACTATAAAAAGGATGTAAGATATTAGAAAATCCATAAAAAGTCAAAGATCAAGCAAGCTTAAATTTTCTTACGTGGTTGACCCAAAACGATTATTGGTGGACCAGCAATTTCATTGCCATTGGGAACATTTAAATACCTTTGCAATAGTGCAACAACGGCTTCATGTACTTGCGTGCACATCTCAATAATAAAAACGTTGCCGTTATTATATTCAAGCTTGTACCCAGATAGTTCACGGCTTTCAAGAAATTTGTTGTAGTTTTTTATCGATATATTGGAACCAATCTTAAAAGGTAAACTGCAATTCATGTGAGCTAACACTAAGTGGAACTTAAAGTAAAGGATCACAGTTCTATGATAAAATCATATGTTACCTATTCTCCTCTATAGCTTCCTTTGGAAATTTTGGAAATCGGAATTGTTCTTGGAGCATCTTAGTTAAATCACGAAACATTTTGAAAAAAGTTTGAGTAAAAAATATGACGTAGTTTTGTAGAAATAAGTCTCGAATTATTACATCATTTATAGGTATCACAAGTCACGAGATATTTGAAAAGTAAACCGGCACGGGATCAAGGAAATCGTGGTTTAGCACGTGAAAAAAGTAAATGAACATCCATAGATTTATACCGTTAAAACATGGTTGAAACAATGTTGAAGTGTGGTTGGAAAAGCAATAAATTTTACAATAGCGGACTAGTACCAAGCACATATATCTTAACATAATCATGGATATATGGTTAAAGTATGGTTAAAGTACTGCTAAAATACTTAAGATACACTTATAAAAGCAACAAAATCCCACCTTCTTGCATTATATTCATTGTCGGGATAAATATCGTAGAGGCAAAGCCTCATTGCTCTGCAATAAAAATGGTTGAATGGACTGATACTCAAATACGTATCCTCATTGATGAGCGTAGAAATAGAAATGAAGAATATCATAATTTTGGAAGGAATCGAATCAGATTTTGGGATAGCATCGCAACCAGAATTAATCAAGAACATAATACGAGCTTTAATGTAAAGAAAATTCCCGCCTTCTCAGTCAATGACCTCGAAACCAGATATATACAGTTAGCAGGTAATCGATGATATATAGTTAACTATTTCTCTTTTTCCGAGCTAGAGAGGAAAAAGGATTACAATGTAAGTATGGTATATTAAGTTTTTTTCCAAATTTTTTTGCTTACATCTTAGCTATTATGATTAATAATTTATGTCAATTAGTTGATGTGTGATTATATGGCAGGGAATCGAAGAGCACGAAGAAGTCGAATGGATGCATAATACTTTGATGAGTTTCGTACGCATTTTTGGAAGAGGCCTGAAGATGAATTTGATAAAATCCGCAACATTAATAGTTCTAATCGTAGACAACGTAGAATTTGGGGGAATAATACACCCGCACCATCTACTGGGGAAGTTGAACATGAATTAGGTCAAACATTGCCAGATAATCGAAGAAGCCGAAGAACTTCCGTTGATAGTCGAAGAAGTCGTAGACGGTCAGCATCTCCATCTCCACCCCGTGATGCTATAAACACTAATACAAACAATCCTGGTGTGGAAAATCCTGAACAAAATATTGGCCATTCTGGCTCTATCGAATCATCATCTCTTCAACCACCACCTTATGAGGCCATAGATGAAGCACAAAATAATTCTTCAGAAATGAATCAGAGCCATGTTGTTTCTAATCGCGAAGTAGCTGTCTCTGGTAATATACCCTTGTCTCAAAACGACAGTGATGTTAGTATGCATGATGTAGACCCTTCAGGTCATTACTCTGCAATAGGAGATAGTCAAACATTTTCTAATATGTATTCGATAAATGAAGAGGTTGGATAGCGGAGCTAGTGTCTTATTTCTGGAGAAATGACATTCCATGCCTGACACATAAATTTTTAGTACTTTGTGCTACAAGCTTTGAGTAATATATTGTGGAACGTACCTTATTTGATCGCTAATATTACTATGATTTCATATTCCGAGATCGCTCATAGATAATAAATTAATTTCATACATCCAAAATATTGGAATTGTAAAACTCGTCTAAATGTTATCAGGTGAAGTATAGTTGAAGTTCAGTTAAGTATCCACTTGAAGTTCAATAGGAATTTGGTTGAAAAATAATTTATTATAATATTTCATAGTGAATCCGCAGTTGAAGTATACTTTTGGAGTACTAAAATATATGAACGTGTATTTTTTCTCAAATTTTAATTACGGATCTAACCTTGTAAGGTAACGGATCATTCATAGAAAAACAATTAATGTATGTCAATACTATGTTGTCTGAGATCACCCGGTCCGAGATGTTCAAATGTGCAAATCCGAGATGAAGGCACGATGAAGGTACGATGATTTTTTTTTCTTATAAAAACATATGGAAATATCATATCTCAGTTGAACATCCGTTGAAATTAGGAACATCTAAATTTTTGTGATGTGGACCGACGATCAACTGCGCTTACTAATTGATGAAAGAAAAAATCGAAATGGGGAGTATTATAATATTCCCGGTAGTAGCAGGGTAGACTTTTGGAATAGTATTGCAATTACAATCAACCAACGATTTGGGACTACCTATACAGGACAACAATGTAATAATAGATTTCAAAATCTTGTTAGAGATTACAACGTAAGCGTTAAATTCTATATACTATTTTTATCTATGACATTTCTAATATACTTTTGTATTGCCTACTTCGCTGAATTTATTTTAGTCAATGTGCCAATACATAGCTGGAAGTAGAACCGGGAAGAGGAGTAGAGCAGGTGAACGATTTTTTGAAGATTTTAATTCTCATTTTTGGGAGAGACCTGGTAAGATCACCTATGATACAATCTATCACTGTAGTAGTAAATATATGTCTTAGACACTAGCTTCGCTATATAGATAACTCATGAATTTACCTCGTATATGAAATATAGATTCGACATGTTGCATAATACAAATACATCCACCAGAAGACGTCGCCGTAACCGTACCCCACCACCATCTTACGAAGTGTCAACAATTCTAAGTACGAGTCGCCGTGAATCTACCACTAATCAAAGGAATCGATCCGCATCACCCACCCAAAGAGCGACTAGTGAAAGGAGTGAGAATATCAGCGAAACTGCCACCACCAATAATAATCAAGATAATAGAAGGAATGAGAATACCAGTGAAACAGCTACCACCAATAATAATCAAGATAATACAAGGAATGAGAATACCAGTGAAACAGTCACCACTGGTAATAATCAAGATAATGGAAACAATGTAAATAATGTTAATGATGTGAGTGAGAATTCAGGTCATAACGTGAATGATGTAGATGAAAATTTAGATAATGTTAGATACTTATCTTCATCTGAGTTGGCAAATATTACCTCATCCATTAATATATCTGCATCACAAAATGACAGTGATGTTAGTATGTTCGATGTTGAAGACAGTCAGCCACCTTCTTATATGGAATCTATAAATGAAGAAAGGAATCCGTGAAGCAGGATGTTAATACATCTGAAAAAGTAATAAAATTTATTGCAAAACAATGTTTTTTCGAACTATCCGAATGTTTGGTTATATTTTTTTGTTATTTCTAATATATATGTCCACCCTTTTGATTGTATTCGCATCACCATAAAAAGAATCAATGTATATATATTTCTGCATGAATTGGAAGGAATTAAATTTATTGCAAAGCAATGTCACTTATGTACCTTGATAATCCCTCTGCATAATCAATCAACAGGAGAGACCGTCCTATATAAGGAAAGGATGTTCACAATTGATTTCAATTTTTTTTATACAGTTTAGAATACTTTTACAAGGGTATTACGTAGCCCATTCTTACAATAAATCATGTGCAAATAATTACACAAATTTGAAGCTTTACACTTTGTTGTTATCATATCTTTTGAATCCCTTTGAATCCCACAACTTTCATAATACGATTTACTCGAAGAAAAAATGTCTGAAATTAAACGTTGCACAGAATGTAAAACCATTAAATCAGCTAAATTTCGTCAACTAAAAGGCAATAAATGGAAAGAAGCTGAGAACAACGACTTAGTAAAGGTAACGTGGACAGAAGGCGTTGTTTTATGTAACGTTTGTTATATGAATTTCGTAGAAAATCCTTTAAAAAGAGGATCTAGGAGAGCAAAAACTACAGATGAGGAAGGAGAAGCGGATGAGGAAGAGGAAGAGGAAGAGGTAGAGGTAAGTGAAAAGATTGATTTTACTAAAGCCATCAAGATGATTGCTAAAATCTTTTATGAAAGAGAATATAATAATAAAGAAGGTCCTATATACGAATTTGATGAAATGCGAAGATTGCTTCAAGAAATAGAACCAAGCTTGAAGGGGTTTTTTGACCAATTATATTTAGCAGCTCGTCCATTTGAACGTAATGAACAAACGATGGACCGTATGAAGAGATTAATGGTGTTCATATGTTATCTTCTTGCTTCATTAAACAATACAAAAATTAATTCTTTTAAGTTTGACCTTGCATTCTATTTAGATTCGGTAGGTACAAGTAATGAAGGCCTAAATACAATGGCGAACCTTGGAGCAACCACAACATCAAGAGCAGTAGATCGTAAAAAGAAGCAAGTTGCAGATGAACATGAAAAATATGTAGAGGATGCACTTACAAAATATTCAAAAAGTGCATTCATGTTGAATGTTGATGATTATCATAACATTCATGTCCAGAGACGACCTGATACTACTACTACATCTTGGGCGGCACATATGGCAACTATTGTAACAAATCCATGTCCTAACATGTTAGCAATACCACGTAATGGGGCATCGAATCCAAAAATCTTTGATGATGAGTTGATTATGAAACATCTTGATAACCGATTTATCACAAATCTTGGTGTCTCTTATAATGATCGCATGCAAGACTATATAGGTAACGAATGTTCTGATGATGAGCTCATGGAAAGACTAACATTGCATAGTTACAATGATAGGTTAGTGGAAAAAAAGACCGATCGACATGTACAGAATGCTATCCTCTTTGATTTTGTTGAAAGCAATTTGAAAGGTGTGGAAGATTACACAAAAGCTCTCCAAATCGTACATGATCAAGAACCAATGCAAGCATATCTTTCTAATTACGCAATTCCCATTGTTGCGGATTGGCCTGGTCAGTTTTTCATTCGTAAAGCTATTGTACATCGGTTTCTCAACAACAACAACAACAACAACGAAACTATTCCTTCATTCGTTACAGCATTTTTACCTATTATGGGTCCTCTTCATGTGTCTTTAAATGGTCATGAACTCGTATTTAAGGAAAATTCGTTTTTATTTAACGATATTTATAAAGGACTATTTGGAAATCGTAAGAATCTTGGTAAGAAGCCACGGCCATGGCGAATTGATTTAATTCTTCACATCATGCGCATGGCATGGCTTGATATAGATGATATTGTTTATTCTAAGTTTGGTCGTACAAAAAACATCGAATTTTTATATTTAACCAATCTTTTGAGCAATTTAATTCCTTTAGTTCTTGACGTTTACGCAGTGCACCATTGAGAAGGTAACTGGTTGGCTTATGAAGAAGCTTGTATGCGTTGCTGGAGTGATCTTTTTCTTCAGTTTGATCGGAGAAATTATAAGCGTGCACCTTTAATGTTTTTTTCTGATATCTTTTATTGGATGGAGACAAATCATCCGATGATTGAGATGGTTACTAATCATCTTGCCTCTTTAAGTGATAGTCCTGTAGAAATTATTCACAGTATTATTCGACGACGTATGGCTAAGTTTTTCACCGCACAACAACTGCAAAAGGAGGCACGTTTTATTTTTCAACATCGAGAGGATAATACTTTTCGGCAACATTTCATAGATTCAGTAAAATATCCATATACACCGAAACAATTGCATATGCTTTCCCGAAAGTGTTCTGTATTGCTTTTAGATGTATTTACGAAGATATATCAAGCACGAAATCAGTATCCTTTGATTACTAAAACATCTAATGGTATTAACTCATACAAGTTACCTTCTTTAGTTTACGAAATAACCGATCGTCACCTTCCAAGAGGCTTTGTTACTTCTAAGAAACCATCTACAAACATTTTTTGCGATTACGTATATTGTGATTACACTAATACTAACTATAATTTGAATAATTGTAGTGTACTTGCGTGTGGACATGGTTATCACAATCATTGTCTACAAAGGTGCCAATCTAAATGTTTGATATGCTTGGACTATCTTCAAGTCGAAGTCAAAAAAAATGTCAACGCGCTAAAAGAAAGTATGACGAAAAGATTAAACGAAAATGAATTTATCGAAAGTAATGAAAATACAGTTGATGATGATACGGATAGTGTTGAATCAGCAACAGATGATGCAGCAACAATGGAAATTTTATTAGAAAATGCAAAAAAAACATTTTTTGAGTTGTAAATTTTGTTTTATTAATAAATTTGTTTCATATATACATCGTTCATGTTTGTCTTAATCGTATATCTTAAACTGGTCGTGTTTGCATTTCATCGACATTCATTATATTAAGGTTATTTTGGTTATATCGAGAGATATGGTCAAGAGAAGAGTTAGGAAGAGAGTTATTCTTCAACCAAGTCGAAAACTAACCCTTTAAATACATTTTCGAGTAGTACAATTTAATTTATTAGACTATTTCAATGGTTTGTCGCATGGTTGCTTCTAATTTCTTAAATTCGTTAACGAAACAATTGTTGGTGAAGTGATTGTTGACAAAATGAATCAAACCAACATTTATTTTTACATTATCAAATTCACGATTTTAATTGGTCAATCAACGAATGGCATGGGTTAAAATTTTGTGTTCCCTCCTGTTAATTTTTGTGTTCCCAGAACGGTCCCACCTGTTATTAGGTGATAATGACTTAAAAATTTTATTGTATGAAAAATTAACACCAGGATTTGCTTTAAAAAGTAAACAAAAATTTGGGAAAAAAGTGGTGGTATTTAAACATAATTGAAAAATCCCTTCTCTCCAATAAATCAATAATGAATATTTAGATTTAATCAACATCATAAAAAACAAGCAGTTAAGAGTGCTAATACGAATAACTAATGTAAAAAAAACAATATTAATATTAATTTCACATATATAATGTTTTTAACAATAGATTTAATTGATAATCCATGATTTTTTAAGTTCATTAAACCTTTACCTCTAAGAATATTTATTATAGAGCCCGCTTACACTCCCTAATAATAATGGACACTCTGTAACATACTGAGAATTTAATATCAATATTGATTGATATTAATATTAAGCCCAACCTATGTGTCCAATATTAATATATATAAATTATTATTGTCGATCTATAATAAACATTTTTCCTTAGTTATAATACTAATACTAACACTAATACTAAGTCAAATGGTCCGTTATAGAGTGAACTGTATATATAAAAAAAAAATTTTTATTATTGTAAATGCAATTAAGATCCAATAATAATAAAACCATTACTATTATTTTCTCTTGGTAAAAACGAACGTTACACTCCAAAAATACAAATCAATAATAATAATAGTGATAAACCTTATTCCAAAAGGTTTACAAAATCAAACGACCAAATAATACAATAGGTTAGTATTAATGTCGGCGGAAAGATAGATGTTTATTATTATTGACACAAATTTGGCACAACACTATTGATTAAATTTTGGGATGAGGGTATGGGACACGGTATAGAACTCGTAACACAATTAAAGCACACGTGCATCCGAGATATCGCAGTGATCTATAGAATCATCAAGATTAAAATGTTTATTATTCAAAATATTTCATTATAGAACTTCTTCTCTATCGCATTAACTGAATCGCATAAAGATTATCCAAAAAAAAAATATTTGTTACTCAATTGATATAAAAAGTGATCTTATTTTTTTCAATTAATGACACATCTATAATCATTAATTGCTTATATTAACAATTGGTCAACTTCAAAATATTAAAACAAAAAAAAAATTATATCATTTTAAAAAATTTAACCGATAAGTTTTATTGTTCATGACTCAAGCTTCAAAAC